ATATATATTGCATATCACTATCTCTAAATTTGTTTTCAAGAAAATCTCAGAATGTTTGGTATTTTGACATGAATATCACCCTCTTTTTCCAGAGTAGTTACATTTTTCTTAATTTTAGTAAGTCTCAGAAGTAAATTCACAGGTGGTTAGTTCTTTCCCTGAAAGAATAAGAGTTACAAAGTTGAAACCCTGTAATTTGAAAAGGAACTCTGATTTAAGAGGACATGATGCTGGATGTCAGTTATACTTTCATTTCTGACTTTGCTAGAGACAGGCACTAGGCATTTTTTGTTATATATTATTAATTTTTGACTAATGAATCACAGTGTCCTTAAAACATACTGGTTTAAAAAATATATTTTACCCAGCAGGTAGTTTTATTGCTTTTTCTCACCTCAAGGAGATCAGTGATTTGTTTTGCTGCTATGATGCCATTGCCTTTAATTTGATACTTTTAAAAATAATGTATCTGGGGCTGGAGAGATGGCTCAGCGGTTAAGAACTCTGGTTGTTCTTGCAGAAGGCCCAGGTTCGAATCTCAGCACCCACATGGCAGCTAACAACTATCCATAACTCCAGTTCCAGGGGATCTGACAGCCTCTTCTGACCTCTGTGGGCATTGCATGACAAGGGTGCACTTACCTACATGCAGGCACTACACACATACACATAAAAGAAAAAGGAAAAAAAAAAAAGAAAAAAAATTATCAGTATTTTCCTTTTTTTTTTTTTTAAAGTGTATCAATGGATTAAAAAGACAAGATATCTTTCTAAGAAGCAATATAATTATAGTTTTTTGTTTTTTGTTTTGTTTTTTTTTTTGTCTTTTTGAGACAGGGTCTCCCTGTAGCCCCAGCTGTCCTGGAACTCACTATGTAGACCAGGCTGGCCTTGAACTCACAGAGATCCGCCTGCCTCTGCCTCCCAAGTGCTGGGACTACAGGGGTGCGCCACCACGCCCATCTACTTTTTAAATCATTTGCAAACCAGAACAATGATACATGTGTTCCAGAGTTCTTTGCTGAAAACATCTTGACATTTGGAATATAACTAACTTGAATGATTCCTTGCTTATCTTTTCAGGGGCGGACTGCAGATTTTCCCCCTTCAAAGTTAAAGTCTGGCTATGGAGAGCACATATGCTATGTTCTTGATTGTTTAGCTGAAGAAGCACTAAAGTATATTGGTTTTACTTGGAAAAGGTAATTATTGCCCCACAGATAGTATTAATTTTATGTGCTAGCATTGTTATTTTTCTGAAGTACAGAGCTGGTTAATTAAATTGACAAGAACTGACTGTTCTAAACTGAAAATGGCACAGAGATGAAGAAAACTCACTCTAGACAAAAGACAGTACCTCCAGTTCTGAGGTAGCATTAGCTAGGTTTGTGCCTCTTCCTGTTCATATGTGGTTATTAATGGCTGAACTGTGACTGCATTCTTGCCAGTTTACGAAAACTTTTTAAAGTTCTCTTTGTGCCTACATTTACTTAAAACCCGCAGCTGTAGTATGTGTGTCAAGGAACTGAGAGCCTCCACGTATAAGATAGAATAGAAATTATAGTACCGAATGGGAGCTGTTTCCCTTTGCTTAGTGGCTGGGAAAGGGTGACACTAAAGAAGCCACCAGCCTTCTTGACAGCTTCCATTGCCTGTCCGCTTACCTGAAATGCTTTGCTTATGTTTGTATAGTATAAAAATCATTTGTTTACAGGTGTGTCTTTGTTACCACAAATCTTGAATTTCCATATGTACTCTATGGTACTTAGCATAGTAATTGCTGTATCACATATGTTCAATAAATGAAATCAGAAACTATTAATTCATGTAAATTATGATTAAAAACATATAAATTCATCTTTTGAAAATTTGGATTATTGATAGGTTGGAATGTAGAAAATTCCATGAAGTAAAACATGACTCAGGAGTGAATTCTAGATCAGTGCAAACTTCTGGAGGAAGAGGTATATATTATTCCCTGTTAGGATATTAACATATATGTAATTACATTCATGTAAATAATCTACTCTCTCTTAATAAGTATTTTACTTTCTCCTGGAATATTTTTTGTTATTTTAAATATTTTATTAGCCATCATGTGGGTGCTGGGAATCGAACCTGGATCCTCTGCAAGAGCAGCCGGTACTCTTAACTGCTGAGCCATTTCTCCAGCCCTATATATATTTTTAAATTTATTTTTGTTTTTGAAAATATTTTTATTGAGCTTTTGTATATTTCATACAACAGTTCTTAATCAAATTTAGATCTCTTCCCTCATCCATGCCCTCCCCACCAGACCTCATGTATCTCACCATGTAATTATAGTACTATGTTTGGTGAAATATCATGAATATATGTCATGGGTTAGTTATGTGTGTGTATATAGGTGTATATGGGTTGGATAACTATATATAGTCATATTGTAAATGTATTTATTAAATGTGGAGGTACATATTTTTGTTTTTGCTTTTTTACATTGAAAATTTCAGGAAGAAAACGTCAGAGCCAAAAAGATCTTTAATGTTCCCAGTATACAATTTTGTCTTACTAAAATTTCATTACTCATACTAAATCTCATTCTTTTAGACCATTATACCCAGTGGAAGAATTAGAAGAAGAGACTGTTCCAGAAGATGATGCAGAATTAACATTAAGTAAAGTAGATGAAGAATTTGTGGTGAGTATGAACCATCTTATAGCTTTGCCCTTGGCTTCCTTCCCTTCTCTTAATTCCCCCACTTCCATTTTTTTCTGGAATATTTTAATTGTTTCTAAATGCATTGCTATTATCAGTCCTTCAAACCTTTTGTTAAGTTAGTGTTCATGCTCTTTAATCAATTTAAGCAGAAGTTCTTAATCTGTAATAAGTATATACCACTATTTATATGAATAATATTTTATTAACAACTATTCATGATCTTAAATAAAGCATAACTAATAAAGAATTAGAATAGAAAAATAACACTCAATTCATCTTTGGCTGTATATGGTGGTGCACACCTGTAATCCCAGTATTTAGGAGATAGAGATTGAAGAATCTCAAATTCAAGGTCAGTGTCTTCTACATAGCAAGTTCTAAGACAGTTTGGGCCACGTCAAGACCTTATTTCAACAAAACAAAAGCAAAGCAATAAAAAGCTCTAAGAATTTACAATTAATGCATTCTCCTTTTCAAGAACACTGTTTAAGGAATTCCTTTAAATTTCTCAAATTAAGATGAATACTACCCCATTGAAATTTTCTTAAGATGCTTGTAAGTGACCAACATTATTTGTTTGGCTCCACCTGCATCTTTTCTGTACTTAATTTCCTGTGCATGCTATGAAGCTAAGTGATGAAGTCTCTACAACTGACCATGCTAGTAAGACAATAGGAACAAAAGAGTTGATTTCTCACAGTGATTCTTTCTTAGAACTAGAAATGCATTGATCCAAATAGATTATGTATTCTATATTTCAGTTAAAGCTAGTATAAACTGTAAAGGTGCTAATCGCTGATTTATTTAATATTTAAAGTAAAAAAATAAATTAGGGTCTGGTGTGGTGTTGCTGTGGTGCGGCGGGTTACGCGCTGCTACTCCAGCTCTTGGCTGGGGTGCGCGGATTTCACGCACCGCGTTGCTGTGCGGGTCCCTGGCTCTCCGCAGCTACCAGGCGCTGGCGACTCTGCAATCGCTGTCAGCTGCCGGGCGGGTTCTCTTCCAAGCTGCCGGGCACTCCCTCTGTGCACTATCCGTTGGCCACCGGATCACGAGGGGAGATGCAGGAACGGCTAAAGCAAGATCTTCCCGAGTGGTTATTATGTACAGCCCCCTCCAGGGAGATTGTATCATAGGCGCAGTGAGACACAGATACAGCTCCAGACAAGTTCAGTGATACAGCTCCGTTTTATTGGGGTGAAACCAGAAGATTTATAGTGTGGAGGCAGTAGCAAAAGCCTTAGTTGATAGGTGCTCCTAGGATGCCCCATTTACATGTGGCGGTGGGCTTCTATCAGGCTGTCAGACAATGCCTGATTAAAACCTGGTAGTTTCTGTGCCAGAGGTCATGTATCTGTGACGGGCACTTCAAAGGTGAGCCAGGAAGAGAGCAGAAGGCGCCCTGCTAGAAAGGGGAGTCTCTGCATAAAAATTCTGAGCCCCTTAGGCTATCCGGACATGGAGAGACTGCAACCCAAACAACAGGGGTCCCCAACACAACTCTGTAGAACAGTACCATGAGTGAAAGAACCCTTGTATTGAAAGCTCCCGATGTAACATTTCAAACCCATTTCAAGATAAGTTCCAGGACATCTGGGGCTATAGGGAGACCCTGTCTCAAAACAAAATAAAACAAAGACAAAACAACAAAAATAAAAATAAATAAATAAATAAATTAGATTATAGCTAAATAGAATATTTTAGAGCTTATTTATTTATAAACAGTGATAGGAGGATGACAATTTATATTTTCTGTTACAGTTAACTCTCATCATGACCATAAGTATTTAAAATATATTATAAAAAACAAAAGAAAAATACCAGCATATTAGCATTAGTTACAAATGGATAGAAGAAGCCATGAGGTGGAGCATGCTTTTAGTCTCCACACTTGGGAGGGCAGAGGTAGCCTGATCTCTATGAGATCTAGGACAGCCTGGTCTCCATAGTGAGTTGCATGCCAGCTGTGGCTATAGGAAAACCCTGTCTCAAAATGACAAAAGAGAGAGAGAGAGAGAGAGAGAGAGAGAGAGAGAGAGAGAAATGGATAGAAGCATTATGAATGGTTCTTTTTAATAAGTTTTTGTGTTTTCAAATTTTTTAATGTGTATTTTATCAGCAGTGTAAAGGAATACTTTTAACCATGTATAAAATACATGACTCTACATGACTTTGCTACTTGTTTTCTGAGGCAGGGTCTTACTTAGTAGCCAGGTTGTCCTGGAAAACTCCCTGTATAGCTCAGACTGGCCCCACGTTCTCAATCCAGACAACTGTAAACTAGTCAGTTTAAAACAAATATTTTTATGAGAGATGATGAGCTGTCTATGGCACTAACAAGGCATTAAATATTTTTAATGTGATAATTTTAAAAGTGAAGGCAAAAATTTGTTCATTGATTCTGCACATGCTTATGGAAGCCTGTTGTACAGCAGGCGGTAGGCAAAGCTCTGGAAGTTCAACGTGTTCAAAAGCTCAAGGCCAGGAAGATGCTCTGTGTCATCCTAGAAACAGAAAACCAGAGTTTCTAAGTAAGAGGGAGTGTATTTTAAGATAAACTGGGATGATAAATTGGAGCTTTTTTTTTTTTTTGGTCTTTTTGAGACAAGGTCTCTCTGTAGCCCCAGCTGTCCTGGAACTCATTATGTAGACCAGGCTGGCCTTGAACTCACAGAGATCCACCAGCCTCTGCCTCCTGAGTGCTGGGATTAAAGGCGTGCGCCACCACGCCGGGCTAAATTAGAGCATTTTTAAATTCAGATTTTCTTCTTCAACAGATTTTCCATTCAAACTCAGAAATTAAGTCCTGAGATATGGCCAAGTTTTCATCTATTTACTTCGATAATTCCGTTATCTTTGTAAATAAGTACTTATTAGTTTATCAGTAGATACTTGATCCTAGTAAACCAACATTTAACTTCAAAGATGTAACATGAAAGTACTATTCAAAGGGAGAAAAAAAGTCTTTACTCATCAGGGGAAAAAAATATGAAGACAGAAGGCATGGCTGATTTTGTGCATTGTTCTAGTTTTTGTGCAGGACTTGGTGCATAGCAGGTTTTCTTTGAGCGTTTGATGGTAAAATCTCTGGATATTGTGTAACTTTGGCACACACCTTTAATCCCAACACTTAGGAAGCAGAGGCAAGTGAATCTGTGATCAAGGGCCAGCCTGGTCTACATAGCCAGTTCCAGGATATCTGGGGCTACAAGGAAACCCTGTCTCAAAAACAAAAACAAACAAACAAAATATAGTTAATTTTTGTCTTAGAATCTTTTAAAGATGAAAGCAGAATTATTGAGGTTATAAAATTAGAAAAATAAACTAGGAAGCCGCCTCTGCACACTTTTCTTCCCAGCCATGAGGTAAAGACCACTGCAGGCCTCCCTGGCAAGGTGCCTCTGAAGAAGCCTTGAAGCCCTTTCTTTTCCTCATGTCCCTTGGCTTTCTTTCTTTTCTTCCTTATCATCACCATGTTATTCTGAGACCCTCTCTTCCTTCTCCATCCTCCTTGCTGAAGTAAGCTGGGTTAGTACCCAAAGCCTTGTATGGTGTCTATTGATCCTGTCACTGGGTTTTTAGGGTGGCTCAAGGATGGCAAAGGAAATTTCTGATAAGCTTAGGCTATTATCCTCGAGAAACTAGAAACCTTTAGTTTTAAACTAGCCAGATAAAAATAAGTCACACTGGTAATTATTATTTTTAAATTGGTAATGACAGAGTATTCTCATCTGTTTTATGTAATCATATCCTTAGTAACCAGCAGGAAGAGAGAGAATTAAGGTGCAAATTACACAAGAATGTGGTAAGAAATTTTGCCTTCTGAATTACTGAGATAAATTATTGGGAATCCTAACTTACTTTAAAACCTTTACTTCTTAACCTGTTTATATTTGAATTCATTTTGAATGTTTTTTTCATAATATTTAGTAAGCTAAGTCCTTTTTCTATGTATTAGTTTAGATCCTCTAGAACCAGTAGGAGACATAGCCCTTTAGAGAGAAAGATTTTTTTTCTATCCTTGAAGTGTTAATCCAGAGCCTCACAAGTGCCAGGCAAGTATTTTTTGAGCTGAGCTTCAGCACCTTTGTATTTTGAGAAAGGATTATTCTAATTTACTCAGGCTTAGGCTGACCTTGAACTCACTATGTAGCTCAGTCAGCATTTAAACTTTGATACTCCTGCCTCAGTCTCCTGATTTAGTGGAATTATAGCCTTATACTACAGGATTGGCTGAGAGAAAGTTTTTATAGGAAATTGACCACGTCATTATGGGGCTGAAAGTCCCAGATCTGCATTTGACAAGCTAGACTTGGGAGAGCTGATGGTGTAGTTCCAGTGTGAATGGAAGACCCTAAGGAGATGCCTGTAGCATAAGTTTCCTTCTGAATTTTATGCCACAAACAAGAAGACTGATGTACTGTTACAAAGAAAGGCACAAAGAGTAAATTCTGTCAGCGAGCTCATTCTACTTGGACTTTACATAGGTTGAATGAGACCCAGCCACATTGGGAAAGGCAATCCTCAGAGCACATTCCAAATAATATTTAACCAAATATCTCAGCATGCTATGCCAAGTCGAATTAACACATTGAATTAACCATCACATTCCATCAGCTTGGCACATATTAACATCCTTTTAAATCATATGTAATTTTCAAATAAAGACAATAGCATAATCATAGTCTCCCTAGCATGGTAACAGTTTTCCTACTTAAAATAAAGGTTACCTCTTCTCCGAAAAACAAGGTAAAATCCGTGAGTGATGTCTATTCTCTTTGGTATCTTGAAACTTAGTGCTTTGATGTAAAAATGGCATAATGACAAGAGTCAACATATCTTACATTTTATGTTAAAAGGATAAAGAAGGAAAGAAAACAAATGTTTACAAATATATATTCATAGTAAAATACTAAACAAATACACATGACAATGCAATCATTATTTCCATCTGATCTCGTAGTTATAGCCTGTTTAACTACTTTCATTCACTGCCCATTCTGTATTCCCTTTGCCAATAGCAAGCACCTCAGCCTATTGGGCTTTTTTACCTGGAGTGACCCAAACCTTCACTCTTAAAGGGTCTGGGCCATCAAAGGTCTTGCCTGATTTGGTCATTATGGTTTTCCATCGACCTTAACCACAGGACAGTACCAAAAAATTCTCCAAAAGACTGCCTGGACCCCAGACTTACTCTTCATACCTCTATTGTAGAGTGGTAGTCTGATTTCCCCAGGCAGCCAGGATCAATCATTCTAGCCAGCACACTAACTCTCCTCTTTTCTGTTGATTCAGAAGTATGAGGAACCCAAAGTGGCCAAGTAATATTGCTAATATCTAGTTCAGTAGAGTCACTCTCGTGTCTGCTAGTAGAAACATTTTTCCATCTGGAACTACGACCTGTAGGATAAGGGAATAAGGTCACATGAACCAGAAGCAAAGATTTTGCTAGTGAGTTACTAGAAATAATGGTGCCACGCCCACTTGAACCCCTCCATTCCTGGACCTGTGAGTCCTGGTTACAGGAGAAACAGCACCATATACTAGATGATTCATGTTGATACCCACTATTAAAGCTTTTTCTTGTTAGTGTTCAAGGGAGTACAAATATTTGTTGATCATCTACGTAAAAGCATCATAACATTATTTCCTCTCCTACCAGCATTGTCATTGTCATTTTAATGACGTACTCAGGTTGTTAAGTAGTACAAACACAGACTAGGCTAAGCCGCTTTTCCAAAGTGTGCATATTTGCTTGACTTAATATGTAAACAAATCAGTTTTGCCTGTACTAGTGTGCTCCATTACTCTCCACTTCAAGAAAATATTGCCTGAGTGTATAGTCTGTATTTGTACTGTTCCAGATATTACTAAAAGTTTCCACTTCTCATATCTTACCTAATGACCCCACTCTCAGAGCTTCTGAACTGATCTGGAATAGAACTTTAGAATTTGCATTCTAACAAATTCCCAAGTGATGCTAATGTCAGTGGTCTCAGAACCAGTTTGAGAACTAAGGGCTTACATGTTTCTCAAGTCTGAAGGTAAGGATTGTCTTTGAAATCTACCAGTGCAGCCTTGAACAGTTCTATTTGTGAAAGTGTTAACCAGTCAACACTCACTTTTTGGTTTGTTTGTTTGCTTCCTTGTTTGTTTACAAGATCATATGACTTGAGGACCAAGCTCTCTTGGCATTGTTAGGATGCCCAGCGTCCTTAAGATTGAAGTATTCTAGTTAAATTTGTCTCATCTTCTGTGTCGCTTGTCACCACAGTGACATTTGGAGAGAAAGGGAAGCTCATGTTTGCTTTGTGTGCTAGTAGGGCCTGCTTTGTATTTTCTGAAGATTAGGGAGCAGATTGCCTCTCAGAGGTCTTCCTCCTTCCCATAGCCCCACAACCCCACAACTAGGTGCTCCACGGATTAGGACCAGTCAGGAGTCTCCCTGAATTACCCTTTTAAGTGGATGTGAGGTCCATACACCAAGCATTGCTGTTAATCATTTCCCTTATTAAGCTTGAACACACAAAAGATGTAAAAAGTGCATGGTCAGGGTTGGAGAGATGGCTCAACAGTAGAGAGCACTTGCTATTCCACAGGATCAGAGGTCAGTCCCCAGCACCCACATCAGGTAGCTCACAGCTGCCTGTAACTCCACCTCCAGGAGACCGGATGCCCTCTTTTGGCCTTTGTGGGTATCCACACACATGTGGCATGTATATACACGACAGACACAGACACATAAATGTAAACTATTTTAAGTACACCATATAGTTAGTCCCTGGAACACGTGAAGCTGTGCTGTGTCCTTCAGCCTTTCCTGTTTGTCCCTTCAGTCTTGTTGCTCAGAATTTCCACAAGCTCCCGCCACTGTTCGAATGGGCCACGTGGGACTTCCCTTCCGATTTCATGTTTCTCTGTGCTCTGCAGTTGCTCTTCCCCCTCCTTTTTTTCTCTCCTCCTTTGTTGATGTCTGCAAAAAAGGCCCTATTTAAATAGCACCATCAGAACTTCAAAGAACATAGGAGCTGTTAATAATGTGTTCTACTCTATGCATATTTATTAGGCTTTTAAATATGCTTTACTGAGTTAGTCTTTATAGTAAGCTTAGCACAACTCTGTATTTTATGTATATGAGTTGGAAATATATATTTCAATTATAATTTTGATAAATTTAAAATATTTTTGTTTTTCAAAGGAAGACGAGACAGATAATGAGGAAAACTTTATTGATCTCAACGTTTTAAAGGCTCAGACCTATCGCTCGGTAAGTGTCATTGGATAAACCAGGGATCAACAACCATCAGCTTGTGTGTTCTGTTGCAAACCAAATGAATAGAAACCATTTGTCAGACATTGTTTTGTGTGCCACTTGCAAAATAGTTTTGGAATTTGTCTTCCTACATACAAAATGCTACAGTTATAACAAATATAAATATCCATAAGGGTGAGTGGGGTGGCCTCCCACATCTAGTGTGGAAAATCAACATACTGCTCCTACTACAAACTGAAAACAATTTATTTGCCTGACGGCATCTTTAATTATAGAAAGCTATAAGTTATTTAAAATTATTTTCCATTAAAATACCCATGAATGAATGTTTTTATTTGTAGGAAAATACTTAAATTATATTTCTTTAAAATAAAATAAATTTCTATTTAGTCAGATATTACTTTAAGACAGGTTTTTCCCTTTGTTTTAATTATGAAATAAATCTAGTCTATAAGAGCGTGCTGCCAACAAGCTACTGCAAATGTACACATGGAATTTTTGCATTTTTATGTGTTTGTTACATTTCAATAAAGTCTATACTACTATGTACCTTGAAGGAAGTGCAGATATAATATATTCCTATTTGTCCTTGATTATTCTTGTTTAAATCCTCAAAACAAGTTTGATTCTAGATTTTGTTTTATATGAAAACTTCCCTGATCTACTCCAGATGATCTCTGTATATATTATTTACTGTTAATTTTCAGTAGTTATCACCTCTGTGTGTGTGTGTGTGTAAGTGCGCGCAAGTGTTACCTGACTTGAAGTGAACTATAGTACTGTGACTGACTTGCTCACCTGTGTGACTTTAGAACTTACTAGGATTCTAACCTTGGGAAAATTTCTAAACTTCTTGAGTTTTATTTTCTTCATCAGTAAAATGAAAATATTAACAATTTCATAAGATTTTTATGATTAAGGGAGTTATATATAAAGCATTATAACAGTATTGTCTATCACATAAAAAATGTTCACCGCATGTTGGCTAAATTCATTACCAATCTTTCCCCCACATTCCCCTCTCAAATATGATTTGTAAGTTCCTTCATAACAAGGATAATTGTCCTTTTTTATATTTCTCATGATGTAAAACAGGAAGTACTGAATAAATACTTTTTAAATGAATGAAGGGATTGTTATTGATCCATTAAAATTATATAAAATAATGTTAACATTTATATCCAAATGAGTAAGCTCCAATTATAATAATACCTTAATTTTACAGACCATAACTTTCAAATTATTTTACTTACTGGTTTTGTGAAGTATTGTATAAATGTTATTTTTAATATATAAACATTAAAATTCATAACCTCATGATAATTTAAATTTTTAAAAGCTAATAAATTATACTACTGAATTTAAAATGTTTCTTCAAAGTTCAAGTCTTTTCCCCTTTCTGTTTCATGGTGGGTGTGATGGAGTTTAAGATTCCTACCTGGAGCAAGAGCTCTGTGGTACTCATATTGGTACAATGTGGGTGTTGGAGATGATGATGACACCTGCTCCTAAAATAAACACAAAGTAGAGATGGACCCACAGCTACTCTTGGAAACTCCTTTATGCTACTAACTTCTATTAATGGAGTAAATAGAGGCTTGTGAAGGTGAAATTCTCTCTGCACAAAATAGTTTGCATATTGAGAAGAATGAAAATAGTTTAATTTGCTTCTGCCACTAATTTATTGTGATTAAGCTGTATGAGAATGGGCTTTCCTTCCACATGTGCCTTAAGAATCACCTAAATAGAAAAGATTACAGAATGTGTGTCCTTTGGAGTTAAACTATGTGACTGTTTCCCCAGAGGGAGAAGCCTGAACACCAGGTGTTTGTGGATGGTCAGCCATGAAGTACTAATGAGACAGAAAACCCTTTCATATTTGAAAAACCTGGCAGGCTTATACTATTGCCCACCAAAACCATCTGCCTGAGACAGCTGTGACTAACTTCAGCTTATGATGGCTCAGGCTGTTCTTTCCCAAGACAGAATTGCTATATAGGTTAGTAACACAGATTTAAGATTTTATGTTTAATGCAGCAGGTGGACTCAGTACAGAAGTACCATTTATCTAAAGTTGATCTAGATGAATTTTAACCACTACAAGAGTGATACATACAATGAAGGAAACTGATGTGCTAAATGTGTATGTGACTACAAGCACAGCAATATATGGGTTGCGGCAAACCTTCCTTCCCCAGGACTTTGAAACAATAGGTGCATATGCAGTGCTTCCCTCTCACCCTGCTTTACTTTTCTTCACAGACTTTACTTTTCTTCACATTCTGTTGTGTTACTGATCTATTCATTGTCTCATCTCCAGAATACAAACTCCTCTACACCAGGAGCCCCTTTACTGCATTTCAACCTGTGCCTGATGTGTAGAAGCTACTTGATAATCAATAATATTGAATTAATTCATGCTGAGTACATGCTGTATTTGTAATTTTATAGGCAAGGTGTCATTGACTCTTCATAGAGCAAAGATCTTTTCAGTGATTGCTTTTGTGTGCCATTGTACGGAATACAGGGATAAAGCTACATATATTTACTTCTTTCATTAAATAAAGTGAACTCTAGACGTTGGAAAGTGTGCTTTAAGTATCATAGTAGTTCCAGGATTTGGAAAAATGCCAGTGTTTCACAGAGTTTTGGTGAGAGGAAACGAGATGAAATACAGCTGAGAAAGACATGTGGCAAGCTATGCTCTCTGGAAGCAGGTAATGAGAGGGAATTTAGAAGCAAGATGCTCACTTCATTAGAAAGATGGTTGTGAAAGAGAGGCTAGAAAGCAGAAACGGCAAAGAATTCTGTGATCCAAGTTGATCCAGCCTAGGGAGGAGCTCTGGAGGAAGGCCCTGCTTGGCTTGGGACCTGGAGGCTGGCTGCCCTAGGAAGGCCGCACTTTAGGAAGAGACAAGCTGAGCATGCTGACTGAGAGTAGGAGGCTGTCAGCTGCCCACCGTCCCTACAGCTTGGTAGTAAGCCCTTCCCTGAAAGAGGACCTGGTGACCCAACCTCTTTGGTACAGTAATATATGTGAACTCGAAGAATAGGTAGAGAGATGCCAACTGCCCATGGTCTCTGTGAAGGACTGTCTGAGCAAATCATAATATAACAAGTGTTTTTCGAGCACTGAAAAAAAAAAAAAAAACCTGAAGGCACTTCCTATGGATGATTGATGATTACAATTATGAAACAGATTTGTTTTGGAAGTAGGTGCTGCTCAGAACATTCATTTAGAGATTTAGGAAAATATACTTAAAGCCATTCTTATTATTTGTGTTACCCATATAATTTTCTTATCCCTGATTATGAATTTGCCAAGCATACTTTTCAGGAACCAGCTGTAATTAATGATAGGTATGTCATCTTCCAAAATTTCATCTATAGATTAATTATTTGAATTTTGAAATAGCCTTTCTTAGAAGGAGAATTTTATGATTTGGTATTCGACTTCAAGGATAGACCACAGATTCCTACATTCTCTGATTTCAGTGATCTTAAATCTGATATTTAGCTAAAAATCACTGTGACAGTGGCCAGGTGGAGGACAGGCGTTCTGAATTAAAGTTCTTACAGTTGGACAGGATGTATTGATGACTGTGAGCACAGCAGTATGTCCAGAGATGTGGGCAGTGGACAGGGAAGGAAGGCTTGCATGGTAAGGTGTCAGCCAGATGTGCTGGTCATTTCTAGTTCCATGTGATGTCTGTCATTTGGAAAAAGTACTGCACATTCATGGTGGCTCTGCTGGTGCCCCACCCAGCAGAATCAGCCTGCATGGTACAGATGTGTCACTCTCCTCCCCCAATGAAAAGAGATGAGAGAGTGCTGTGTGCATTCTGAATTCTATTTTTAAGTGCCCATCACTTCATTTCAAAACATTTTTTCAAACATGCCATAGATACTATTCTTCCTTGAGATGCTAAATTTGAGGTTTTAGAAACCAAATCCTGAGTTATACAGTATAAAACCAGTCTCTCCAAAGGCTTAAACACAATTGGTTTTTAATTACTTAGAAAAAAAAGCCCTCATTGTACTAAGAATGAGAGACTTTTTAGCTTAAAAAGCAAATGCTGAAAGAAAGTAAAAATAAGGCTTAGAATGAAAACTTCAGTTTTTGACTGTTGTACAGGCAGTTCTGCAATGTTATAATCAAAGTAGGAAGAAGGCGGATTTGCTCTGGTTAATGCTTTGAGTACTTTATATTTTTTTCATTTTACCTTGACTTACACCTTCTTTCTGGACAAAGTGCCCTTTCTGAGTAAGACAGTAGGAAAAAGCCCTGCTTTACAACATAACTTGCCTCATAGCTTCCCAATGATTCCGATTCTGGCTTGAGAAAGTATTTCTTCTTTCCTTAACCATTTGAGTGGTAGGCCTGTCTGTGTTGTGAGAGAAGGCTATGGTTGATATTTCACCTGAGAAATGATTAAAATACCTCACATTTGAGTGTGGTGGAACCTTATAGCTGAGTAAATGCTTTCATTTCTTTGGCAGCTAACCTGTACCACCCCATCAGTTTTACACCTACAAGTGAATAGGAAATGAAGGCTAGAGAATAAAGCTCACTTTCCTCTGCTTAGGAGGCTCAAATGCCAGCTCTTGCTGGGTATTGAGGACAGTTTTGCATGATCTTTAGTGTAGCTTTTGAACCCGCACTTGAAGAAAGATCCTTATTTCTATCCTGGTTTCCTTAAAAATTTAGCAAGGAATAGGGAATAAGGACTTTTCAAGGTCCTTTCCAGTTCTGAGTCCAGACCTTCAATATAGATACTGTGACCAAAATAGCAGCTGTTGATAAAAGCCTGACTGGATGCTGCTAGTCACATGACCTCCCTGTGACTCTGCTTTCCAATTTGTGATGTGGGGACACGATTCTTTCTGGGCTTCTTTTGAGATTAATATACCCTAACTTGGACAGACTGCACCTGGCATGGTGCTGTCTTATCTTGAGAAATGTTCACCTTTCCTGAAGGCAGGAATCAGCTATT